GCATTGAGTTGACAAAGGTCAGGTGTCTGCTTGGGGATAAAAGCCGGGACCACTTGCAGGAAGTCAGGAGTGTCTGTCTGTGGAGTGCACTCCCCAGAGCTTCCTGGTTCAGGGAAGACCTGACTGTCCCTGGAGCTGGGCCCCAGTCTGTTTAGACCTTTGTGAACGCAAGTCGATCGGGTGAGTGTTGCCACATGGGCACCTTTCTCTTATGTGTTTAACTGGCTGGGCTGGCTGTTTCCCATGCCAACTGTGGGCAACCTCGGTTCACTGTTTGTACCACCTGTTGTGGGCCGAGTCACATCTTTCGTGGGATTGTTGGGGGTGGCGTCGATCATGTATCAGCTGGTTGATCTGTTTGTACCCCCGCCGGTCATTCATAGCATAACTTTTGTGTTTACAATACAGTCTGCATATTGGAGTCTCTTTCTGCTGGCTGTATCATTTTTGTTGGGCCTGGTCATTGGCAGAACAGCTTGGGACTTAAATTTTTACAAATTCAAAATCAGTTGGATGTGGAATATTAGAATGTCACAAAAATGCATGTTACAACTTTTTAGTATAAACCCTAATTTTTAAAATCTATTTGGATTTGTGTTTATCACAGTAAATGCAACTGTGATGGATTCATGAGAAATAAAACCATCCGGATCTGGATGCCAGAGATAGCGACCTCCTTCAGGTGAACGACTCTCAGTCCTAGAAAGAAAATCACTTTCTTGCCTGCTGAGGCAGGATGTTCATCTAAACAGTAGCTACAAAATAAAAGTTTAAAATGGCAATACATGTGATCTATAAGAAAACTCACTTACTGAGGCTTTCCCTGAGCAGCTTTCCCCAAAAGAAAGTGGCTGTGGAGGTGCTAATTTTCAAATCCAAAACTTCGCATGACAAAAAAGCCGCTGACAAATCCAGAGCAGTAGCGGTGGTACCTGTCCAGCTCGCAGCATGAAGGAGGCAGCACACTGGCAGCCTCCCTGGAACCTGGAGGTGTCTCGCAGGTTCGTCTGATGGAGTGGCCCCAAGTGATCGCGGAGGCGGCAGCGGGGACCCTTCGCCTCCCCGCAGACTCAGACGGTGCCTCCCCGCGCGTCCCACTGGGTGGCAGTGGTGATCCACATCAGCCACTATCGCTGCCCCTGCAGCATCGCTACAGCCGTTCCCAAAATTGCTTCAGGGAATCTGTTTTCCTCCTTTATCGAATATGGCAGAAAGCAGATGCAGAAAAACCTATGAGAAAAAAATAACATATTTTCAGAAGGAAAATTATAGACATTATAGAGAGGATATCGTGCCTCTGTTTGGCGGGTGTCAATGTGTATGGCAGGAGGAGTATTGGAGCTGAAGAGAGTATCTTGAGACTCTGTCAGAAGGATGTATGGAAATAATTCCTGGCATTATTGCAAGGTGATCGACACTTTTGTCTGGGATTTAGTTTGTATTTTGAGCCATATAAGCACTAGTGAATCTGGATAAATTGTTTACCTTGTGTACAAGAGTAAAGAAATAATATTCTTTGGCCAGTTACAGAATTTTACAGCCAGAGCTTATGCTTAAACCTGGGGCCAGAGGATGTTTGCACACACGCTGCTCTCAGTCCCCTCAGGAGGCTGAAACAACAAATCAAAAACATAGGCAGGCATACAACAGAGATGTTCAAAAGGTGAGCCAGAGCAAAGAGCAACACATGATGGATCTGCGTAGAGGGACGTACCTAAGAACCAGTGAGATTAGGTTGTCTCCCATGCTAGCTCACTTGCTCTCCAGCACTACATTCACTGTGTCTACCCTTCCCAGCAGGGAGGTCACAGCTGGTCCAGAGTCAGGCAGAAAGTCCTGCCTGTTTGTGCTGTGCAGCTGCTCACAGGTGCCAGTCTGGCATTACCAGACAAGGTCCCTGGGCAGGTGCTCCAGCCTCTTAGCCCTCTTAATGGCCCTTTGCCGAGTTCTCTCTGGTTTGTGTCTTGCATACTGCAGGCTTAAAACTGTGCACCCTGCCCCAGGTTCAGACCCGCAGCTCCTGGGCGTAGGGGAGTGAGCGCTTGTCCTCAGTGTGTGGTCAGCCTTTTCCACGGCATGGGCACACTGCTGAATCCAGCTTCACTGCTCCTCCAGGAGCTCAGGTCCCTTCTGCAGAGCTGCTCCCAAACCATTCAGTCCCTTACCTGCACTGATGCACACTGTGTGCTCTCCCAGATGTAGGACTCTGTGTTTATCTTTGCTCAGCATCAGGAGGTTCCTGGAATACTGGTCCCTTGAGTGCACACTTGCAATCTTTCTGGCTGTCCTTGCACAAAGGAGCCTAGTGTCTCTGGGAACACTGGCCCCGCAGAATCAGTCACCTGATGGGAGAGAAAAAAGATGTTCAGTCTTTTCCTGAAGGCTAAAATCAGTCTAGCCATCTGCTCCATTAGAAAATTTCAACAATACTAGTCTTAGAGCCTCAAAATAAATTACTCCATAGTTTGGCAAACTGGTGGGAGATGACAGCTGTGAGTACGAAAGACTAATATTGTCCCACAAGTATATTTCATAAAGCTCTGAAAAGTGATATATTGTGAAATGATCCTAGTGACAACCAGGAACACCTGCTATATTCCTTAAATTATTTAATACTACTCTCTGCAAAGTGATAACAGTAAAATAAACTCTTTCATGTGTTTTCAGGAATGACAATCAACAAAGAACTGGGGTAGGCAGAGACTGACTGAGGGCTGTATTTCTTAATCAATAGTGTTCTGTTGGAAAAGGGATATGATTTTGCTGTAGTATCTTTCCTATCTTTTCCACAGACTTGAATTATGAAGGCAATTCCACAGCCTGATGTCAGGGGAGACATATTCCACAGATGTGAACATCTAAGGGCTACTGTCCAAGAACAAAACAAGTCTTTTTCTATAAGTTAAATCAAATCCAGCTTGTCTTTTATGAAAGGTTTTTATATAAGGTTTATAAACAAATCCAGAAACAGCACTTGCTTAGAACTTTCTTCTTTAAGACTGGTAGTATTCAAGGCCAATTACCTTTGAAATTCAGCTAAGTTCATCTTACATTTTATGGGGATTTAAAGAAATGTCCATACCTTTGATTCATATGAAAGCAACAGTTGAAATTTTACCTCCATATGTCCTATACATTAAATTCTGTGGGATAGAAGACTAT